AGAACTACGTTATCTTCCCAACAAAAGTTGAATGACACTAACCAATCTCTGATGCAAGTTTTATTATCTGTCAGTCCTATATTCAAAAATATCGAATTTTGATGATTTGCTGATTTGTAAATTTAAATGTTTCCTTGACATAGATTCTATCATCTTAACACACTTTTTTGAGGTTCTTTTATTTTCTCTGCAAATCTAATTCGTATTGATTTTAAATCTTTTGAGGAATAAGTTTGTCAATTATGATAAGACCATGGAAGGATTTCAAAGCATATTAAATGAGTAAATTTCAAATATATATATATATATATAATTTATGAGACGAAATACAAAGCACATTGACGACAGCGCATTGCTTTCTGCCCGTGGGACGGGAACAATATTTTTCAGCCCTCAGCATGCAACACACTAGTGGATGGTACCCTTAGGGTAGTAATTCTGACTCAGGTTGGTAAATCTGTCTGAAGGTTTACCTCATATGCTGATCACCAAAATCATTCATATCGCGGGCAAGACCTTGTTTTATTGTAGGGAAACATCAGGGTCAAAATCACAGATTCGTCTGTAAATTGGTCTAGGTGGTGGGCGGAAAATTCCTATTTATTTTTGTGGTATTAGAGTAGCGGTAGGTATAATAGGGATTTAAATTGCGGTTTTATCAAGAAGTGGTCACTTAGAGATATGGTTGGTTAAGCTTTCTGAATATCAATAACGTTTCTAATATGATTGACATTCTCTGGGATAACATTATATTTGGTGGTTAGATATCCCTGCACCCCCATTTTCAGCAGCTAGTAGGAAACGTCCAGAAAGCAAAAACGCAGAGCATGAGACTTTTGGACAAGATAGCTACGTTACGCGTTTTACTTGGAATTTTAATTGTGCAAAGTTTGCTTCGGGTCTTATCATCCTCGATAGCATTCAAGATTCTAAAATCGTCCCTTGCCTACAATGCAGTTATTCAACTCTACAACATGGAAATGTGATCGTGGACCACTATGTTTGCCGCACTGTCTGGATGTTTACGACAATAAACCAAAATTTCGTGGAGCTTAATTGAGAATTCACAGGGTTATGGCACTATATAGAATATGACCCACCAATGAATGGAATGTTCGTGAAGGCAGAACACGCACGACCTATGAGTCTGTCGTACTGTCGTCAATGTAGTAGAAGTAAGGAGACTTGTGATACTTCTTGCTGAAGTAATGCACACATATGACTGAGTACGCAATTGATTGACTATTGATTGAAGTGAATAATAAAGTTTGCATCATATAAAATACCTGCACACTAAATTGGAACTGATAAGCGTTGTGAAAAAATCGTGTTTTCACTGTTTAGGAAAAAAACTTCTGTCAACCGGTTTTCTTAGCGAAGAGTGAATTTATCAGCAAAACTTTCGCTCGTTTATCATGTTCACACGCAACAACACAAATGTAATTATTTCTTCAATTTCTTATAGGTACATAAAATATTGCAGTTTACTATTGAAAAAGCAAATCATATTCACAATTTATCGAGGAGTTTCAAGTGTTTCTCTTCCTTACAACACTGTACCTCATCTTTTTAGACT